ACTTACTTGGTAACGCTGGTCAGGCGGAGCACTGAGAGCTACCTCACTGTTGCACCGTTGGGCACTGTTTTTAAATCTCCCGCCATGGCTGGTTTACTACAGTGAGGGTTTAGGCTGAAAGATTGAGCGCTGACGTCATCCATTGGGTGGGGTGCTTTGTGTGCCATTCCTTGAAGAATACTGTATGTCTGTGAAGGTTCTCATTCATCCAGGTCAGGGTATATCTGGAAAAAATAAACCAAGACAACTGGACTTTACTGTATTTTTCTTGAAAGAAAATATTTCTCTTTTAATTTTGCAGCAAAATGTGTGTTTTTTTTTTTTTTTTTTTTTTTTTTTACTTTTTTAAACCACAAAAAAAAAATTTTTTTTTTTTTTTTTTTTGTTTTTTTTTTTACATTTTCTAATCCAGTCCCTGATGCACCTCAGCACCTCCAGCTCTCCTTGAATAAAAATATTCCCCTCACCATCACCGGCTGCTGGTCTCCCCCTGCAAACACTCATGGGCTCATCCGAGAGTATGTGGTAAGTGCTTATATGGGCAGAACAATCTTTGTACAGAAATAAAATGGGATGGGGGTGGGGGGGCATGATTGGTCTTAGTCTTTATTCACAACTGCTGTAGGATGTTTGGAGAGCAGCGAGCAGAGGTGAGAAGATCCATCTGGATGATATAAAAGGGCATTTTTTTGCAATAAATATATGTTCATATGTCCAACTTCAGCTGGGTGCAGAAAGTGAGTATTCACAAAGCCTGCATCCTTAGACGCACTGTGCATAATTAAAGTGACATTAAACCCTCAGATTTTTTTGCATAAACCAATACTGTAATGTGCGCCTTACTGTAATCCATGGTAGTTTCCCTTCTCTTTGCTGCTCTTCCTTTTAAATCTGTATCTGTTCTCATGCTGGGGGAGAACTTCCCTTTGCAGCTGAGTGCCTCTTCCTGTAGTGCTGGCTCAGGTTGTGAACCTTCACACAGACACCATGTATCCATTCCAGAGACAAGGCAGTCTGCTGAAAAACAGACGTTCTGCCCAGCATGAGAAGAGATACGGATTTAAAAGGAAGAGCAGCAAAGAGAAGGGAAACAACCATGGATCACAGTAAAGGTGCCCATACACTGCTCGATTCTCGTACGAGAATCGCGGGAAATCCCGCGATCGTACGAGAATCGAGCAGTGTGAACGAAGACGTGCGACCGTTTCTACTGTACGGTCGCACGTCTTTTGTCGAACCAACATGCTCGAAAACCCGCCGAGAATCGTAC